GTTTCGGGATGTGATCCAAAATGACCACTTCACTTTTCTCGTTCGATTGGCCAAATAATTGTCAGAAAAATACATCAAAAAACGTCTTGTACATGGAATGAAAAAACAAAAGAAAAAAGAATTATGTTTATAGCTTGTGGTCTTTTGGATTGGTGGGAAGAAGCAAACCCTTCACAAAAAAAGAAAGAAAAAAATATGAAAGAAAATTTGCTTTACGGAAGCAAAAGTGCCACCTTTGCGTTGGTTCTAATGCGAGCAGGGTAAAAGAACTCTGTTCGCGTTGTGGAGAAACCACTTGCTTGTCTCATTCTTTAATGCTCTGTCGAGTCTGTTGGGAGTTAAAAAGAAGAGCGAAAGACAAGAAAAAGAAAAGAATTGGGTCTAATTGATGGTTTTAAATCGTTTGGTTGAAACTTTTTTGTTGTTTTTTAAACTATATTATCATTTAATCTAAACGTGTTTGAGAAATTATTTTTATTGTAATTATGAATTCTTTTTTGTTATCAGGTGGATTGACAATGTAGGATGTGTTGTTATGTTAAGAATTAACATTAAAAATATTTCTTACAAAATTTCATACAAAAGATTATTTTCGATGGATCTTAAATAATTGAGTATTTAAATGTTAATTTTTTTAAGTAAAATATAACTGACTATTGGGCGGTTTGGGTTAGAAAGGGGTTTTGGAATAAAATAAAATGAAAAAAAATGATTTGGACAATTTTTTCTTTACTTATTTTTCTTCTTAAAAAAAGCTTTAGGTTATGAAAGTGTTAAGATTATTTGAAGTGTAAATTTTTTAATTTTTTAAACGACTTATAATTTTATTTTATAAAAATTTTGGAAATCAACAACAAAGAATTTCTTGTCAAACAAAAAATTAAATCATAATTTATCATTGGTTGTCTAAGTAATGTTTTTATTAATTCCATTGCTATAACAGAGTTTGTTGTTTTTTAATAAAGTTTAAATTGTAATTGAAATTTTCTGTAGTTAAAGTGAATCTTATATATCCCATGGATGGTGTTAAAATAACAAATTAAAATTTATGTATAACTTTTTTCAGAAAACATGAAAACGTTTCACGTCTTTAAAAAACTTTAATAACAAAGAATAACATTGAAATCAATGATTACAAAACATTTTGTACAAAAACCAAAAAAACTATTTTGTTAGAGTGATTGAAAAATACATTGAAAAAATCGGGAATTAATACCAAATCAACAAAAATGATTATAAAAAACATGAAATTATAATATAAAATTAAATAGAAAAACAAACTCAAATTAATAGAAATAAATATAATGAACATCAACACAATCGATGCATATGCAAGGTTTTTAAGTGGTTCCGTTTTTGGGTATATCGGTATTATTGAGACGAGACAGTTGCTATTTGGTATTGACAATTCTGTGTTAAAAAAACACATTTTCAATGTATTGATCAATAATTATTTAACATTTGTACCAATATTTGGGTATGATCATTTTGTCTTATTTATCATTGATTATCATAATCGTCGTGCAATTTTGTTTAATTCTTTAAATGATTATCATGATGCATTTTATTTGTCAGTTGGGGTTGATATTCTTGAATTGTTTGGATTTGGATTTGATATTTATTTAGCAAGAGGAATTTCAAGACAAAATGACAGTGTTTCATGTGGTCTTTTTGTATGTCATTATATTGCATTAATTGTGCAATTTGATAATTGTAGGGAAGCAATGAAAGTTTATCCACACAATTTAGAATTAATAAAAAGGTTGGCTATTTTGGTTGAAACACACAGTCCACATTTAACAATACAAATGAAATATCATTTTCCCCAAATAATCAACAGTAAAGACAAATACATAATTCACTCCAATCCTTTTAAAATGGTGCAATCTCTGCACGAAATTCCGTGCACACCAAAAAGTGATACTGAAAACACCGATATTGGAAGAGGGGATAAACGTGTCAAGAAAGACACCAAGAAAAGTCTTAAACTCAAACATGATGAAATAGTATCTCAAAAACAATTGAATAACACCGAAAATAAGAACGTGTTTAATCTATTAGAATTTAAAAATGTACACAATGAATGTAACTGTGAACCTAAACGGAATAGTCACATCACAGATTTTTTCTTAAATATGAATATCGAAGAAGTTGTTGACTACTTTATTCCAACACATTTGTTAACTGATATACAACTCTACACAAATACATAAGGTCATTACTGTGTATTTATTAACAATCTCGATGATAAAAAGAAAAAACAATCTTGGAACAACGTTGAATTGTCAGATATTAAAGCCTTTGTTGGAATAAGCTTGATACAAGGTATTTATCGAGAAACAAAAATTAGTCAACGAGAAGT